TCTCTCTCTCTCTCTCTCTCTCTCTCTCTCTCTCTCTCTCTCTCTTCTCTCTCTCTCTCTCTCTCTCTTCTCTCTCTCTCTCTCTCTCTCTCTCTCTCTCTCTCTCTCTCTCTGTGTGTGTGTGTGTGTGTGTGTGTGTGTGTGTGTGTGTGTGTGTGTGTGTGTGTGTGTGTGTGTGTGTGTGTGTGTGTGTGTTTAATATCTACTATACAACTATATTCCTTCCTGTTTCGGTGCACGAGTGTTATCCGAAATCTCCCCCTCTCTCGTTTCCTCTCCCGAACGAGTTTGTTGGAAAATGTGGAAAAGGAAACATTTATTACGATCGAATCGGATGTGAGTGACACGAAACACGGCCGTTCTGATTTCAGGCGGTGAAACTGGAGTCGGTGCATCCAGGAAGGACGAGATACCTGGTGGTTGTATCCTGCACTGGGAGGCAGGATGCGGAGGAAAGCTGCCTTCTGGGTATCGATTGTCACACTAGGGCGACCGTTGGTCTCGTGCTTCGGGTACTGGCCGACACTGCCATTACACTCGACGGTGACGGGTATGTTGCCCATTTTTATTTTTTTTTCTCTCTCTTTCTCCTCGCTTATCGCCATCTTACATCCTTCTCTCGCTTTCGTTTTCGCGAATTGAAAAAAAAAACGTATACGCAGAATCGCTGTTAAACGAGCCGTTCTTTCGATCGAACTACTATCCGATCTGAAACGCGATAGAAGGGAAGATTGATTTATTTCTGTTTATTTGGTTTTTTTTTTTTTTTCTTCGATTGGAGGTGGAACGGCAGCTCGGGAAAGCTTGCCGGATTTTTCCACCGCAGATATTTCCGCACTTTCTCCTCTTTATTCCGCGTGGAATAAAAACGACGACGAATCGGTGGTCCAAACAAACCGCGGCCGAGCCTGCTGCCTTCCCATGCGTAACGCGGGGAATTATTTTCGATCTCGCTAAAATCTTTGCCAATCGGATATCTGTCCACTTTCTAACCGGTCAAAGTCTCCTTAGCCTCTCGCGTGTCACGTGCTAACGTTTCGTGAAACGGCGACGAAACGACGACGAAATTCCTTTGTTTCGGGCAAATGGGCCAAGTTTTAACGAACTTTTCAACACCGGCGTGAAACGTGGTGTTGTGCGCACGCGCAGCGCATGCGCGCGAGTCTGTCCTTTCGGTTCCTTTCGACTCGTGCATGCGCAGTGAGTCATTAGCGTGGCACGCGGCGGTACGCGCGGACTCTCGCCAATTAGGCGAATAAACGCGCGGTTCCAAACGGTACAGGCCGACGGAGCGAGCCGATCGCGGAGAGGTGAACGCGAAGGTCACCACCGCTCTCTTTTCCACCAGACCCTCGTACGCTCCTCTTCCCTTCCCTCCTGGAGAGAAATGGAGCGCGTTACCGTAAGCGGCGTTAGAGTAGCAAGGTGGTTGACAGGTGAGCACCAAGGTCACGAAGGAAGGTCGCTCTCAACCGTTCGCCGATCGATCCGTCCAAAGGACTCGCGCCTTTTCCTACGCGATTGAAATTTTCCATCCGTTACCATTCCGTTCCATCACCTGGAGGAGGAAGAAGATGGAAAACTTTGCGAAAAGGCAAAGTTCGCGAGCCGGACGTAATAACGTAATTACGAAAGTTTGGAATTCGTTCTCTCGTTAAAAGTCACTGGCCGATGAAGCAAAAGCCTCCTCTGTCTTAACAATGATGACAAATTTCTTCTTCTTCTTCTTCCTCTCGTTTTCTCTTCCCTCGTTTCGTTCTCGAGCGTGCCACCTACCACGGGAGCGTATTTAAACGCGGTTGGTTCGAGACGGTGAATCACGCGGCCAATTCGCGGCAAATTAGCGAATAAAGAGGCGGTTGTTAGCCGAAAAAGGAAACTCGAGAAGGAAAAGAAAATCCTCGTGCGTCGTGGATGATTTTTTTTCTTTTTTTTTTCTCCACAAAAATATTTTACTCTTTCTTTTCCTTCTCTCGCATAGGTCGATGTAATTTTTGTACGAAGAAGCTATATCTGTTATACAACGGGATTCGAAAATTCACGATTTCGATCGATCGATCGATCTTACGCGCAAATTTCGTTTTCTTTTCGACATCATCCCGTCACGATCGATCTCGTTCGAAGCGAATCGAATTTCGTTAGGCAAGGACGAAGGCGAGTCTCGTTCGATCGCTGAATCGGAATAATGATTTTCCCGGAAACGATGCGATCGGAATAAAGCGACGCGGCGTGACGTTGGCGTGGCCGGTGATTTTACGCTTCCCTCCTCTCTCTCTCTCTCTCTCTCCCTCGACCTTTTACATAATGCGTAATTAACGGTTATACTGGATGTGTTGTAACGCGACGCAACAAGGGAATTACGTTACCGTTGTAATTTCGTAGCGCGTCGATTACACGCCTTCGAACGAGTTTAATTCTATCGTGTATATCGAAAATTTGGTCGAGTGTAACGGGGCTATAAACTTGGTCTGATAGAAAAGTCTCGATAAGAGACTCGGGCCCGATAATTCTTTTCCCCCTCTCTTTCTTTTTCTTCCTTCAATTTTTCGCAATTGTTTCGATAATTTACGAGAGAGTTATCGTGTAACTGAACGCGAGTGGGGGCGTCCCCGTCGACAACGAACGGATACGCGGGATTATATTTGACTCTTTGTTAATCCCCTCGTAAGCATTCCTCCTACGTTACCGGCAAATTGTACGCCGGATTAGGATACTTAGCATGGGAGCACGGTTTCTAACTTTAGAAACCCTTTCACTCTAAAAACTATACGCTCTCTTTGTTCGCGTTTACCACACCACCTCGTAACACCGTCTGCGTTATACGCGCGTGCCACTCGTCCCCTCCCTCCCCACATTTCTTCCTCCCTAAATTTTCCATGGATCAGCGGCGTTTTTAACGATCGATCTCTGGACGAAGGGCTGTCTGTGTACGATCGATGTATCGTATTTAGCAGAGGGATTAAGAACGCGTAGGATGTAAGAACGAAGAAGAGAGAGGGAGGGAGAGAGAGGTCGAGCACGGTCGAAAATAGCCGTCGAGCTGCGTAGAACGAGGAAGTCGATACGATACCGTTTCGGGCCACGATAAAATAGCTGGTCGATACGATCGACCGAACCGTGACCACCACCGTGTATAAGGTGAACCTCCTAACTTCTCATTCTTTTTTCTCTTTTCCAGAGGGTTCAGCGTCAGCGTTTGCGGTTCCCAGCACATCTTCAAGCCGGTATCGGTTCAGGCGATGTGGTGAGTCTCATTTTTTTTTTTTCTCTCTCCCTCCTCCCTTCAATCACGCCCCTCGTTTATCGTTATTATTATTATTATTTACGATAATTTCTCGAACGTATAATCGATTCGATGATCGAGGATTAGAAAATCTTTTAATCCCAAATTTGTCATTATTTTTCTGATAAGAGAAATTTTCCTCAAAAATAGCCGTTGCAAATCGGAATATAATTGGAGATTCGATTTTATTTAAGAAAGTTTCCACGCATAATCCTCCAGCCAGAAATATAACGTGATATAACAAACGAGTAATAATTGCACACGGATGGCCCGAGACGACACCCACAGGATCGGGAAAGGGTTCCACCCACGTAGATCCACGTATCTCTCTCTCTCTCTCT